TCCATAGATCTGACAGATAATTTTTCCCCTGTTTCTCTAATTTGTTTATGATCTGACCTTTTATATCTAGGTCATAAATCCATTTGAAACTTATCTAAGTGTGAAGTGTGAGGTTTTGATCTCATTTCCTCCATATTCCTTTCCAACTTTCCCAGCTGTTTTGGTCAAATAATGAGTCCTTGTCGCAGTAGCTGGGATCTTTGTATTTACCAAGTATTAAAGAACTGGATACATTTGTTTCTGTGCATTGTGAATCTAATATGTTCTACCAGTTGATGATCCTCTAATTTTTAACCAGTACTATATTGTTTCGATAATTACTGCTTGTAGTATTATTTGAGAGATGGCACTTCTAGTGCCCTTTCATTTCCATTTCTTTTCATCATTTCTTTTGAGATTCTAGACTTTTGTTTCCTCCATATGAATTTTCTTAGTATTTTATCTAGTTCTATAAGGTAATCATTTGGTTGATTAGTTGGAATGCTTTGAATAAGTAAATTAAGTAGTATTTTTTATTTTTTCATTTTTAAAACATTTTAAATGTTATTTTTATTTTATTAGCTTGCCCTATGAATATTTTTCCAGTTTTTTAAGTCTGTCTTTATTTCAGCAAACATTTGTTTCTGTTTGTAATTATATAGTTCTTGTGTGTATCTTGGAAGGTAGACTTGCAAGTATTTTATACATTCTGTAGTAATCTTATATGAAAATTTCTCTATCTCTTCTTGCAGTTTTAAATTGCTAGAGATGCTTATGATTTGTGTGGGTCTGTTTTATACCCTTCCAGTTTGCTCCACTTATTGTTTAAGTGAATTTTTGCTGACTCTTTAGGGTTTTTTTAAGTACACCATCATATCATCTGAAAAAGTGATGACTTTATTTGTTACCTATGTTAACCTATTGTTATTCTCTCAGTTTCTTTTTCTTGTCTTCTCACAATAACCAGCATTTCTAATATTATGTTAAATAGAAGTGATGACAATGGACAGGCACTCCTGTTTCACCCCTGAATTTACTGAAAAAGATTCTAGTTTCTCTCTTATATGTAATGGTAGTTCTTGGTTTTATCACTTCTTAAGCATGTAATTGAGAAAACTAGTTTCTGATGATCTCTTTTATTTTCTCTTCAATTATTTTATTTGAATTTTCATTTTTTTAATATAATTTGGTCATCTTTGTTTTGAATAAAGTTTGTTGTTTATTAGCCTTACTCCCCAAAAATAAGCTGCTAGTTTTATTAATCAATTTAATGGCCTTTTTGCTTTCAATTTAAAAATTTTCATAATTTCTACTTTATTTGGAGGTTTTGGTATGTCATTCAAGTTTTCTTAATCATATGCCCAATTCATTGGTTTTTTACTACCCTCCTCCCTCTCAATGAAAGAATTTAGAGATATGTATTTTCCCCTCAGAACTACTTTAGCTGTATCCTAAAAATTTTTGTATGTTATCTCATTATGGTAATTTCTTTGATGGAATTTCTATTGCTTTACAATTTTGTTCTTTGGCCCATTATATCTTTAGAATTATGCTATTCATCACCAATTATATTTTCATTTTTTAAGAGTACTTACTGAATATAATTTTTATTGCATTATGATTAGGAAATGATCTGTATAAACATGCAGTCTTCAAAGGGAGAAATCCAAGTTATACATAGCTAATTTTTTAAATGCCCCAATTAAGAAATGCAAATCAAAGCAACTCTGAGGCTACCCTCATGCCCATCAATTTTGTAAAGTTGACAGGAAGCAAAAATGACAAATGTTGGAAGAGCTGTGAGAAAAACAGCACATTAATGTGCTGTCTGTTAGTGGCTCTGTGAACTGGTCCAGGTATTGTGGAAAGCTATTTGAAAACTCCAGCTTGAAAGACAGTGACCCAAAAATACCAAGATAAGGCCTATTCCCCAAAGAGATGAAAGAATGAGGAAAAGGAACTATATTTACAAAGATATTTACAGCAGCAATTTTTATTTTTGTAAAGAATTGGAAATGAAGGGGGTACATATCAACTGAAGAATTGCTGAATGAATTATATATGATATATGAATATAATACAATACTATTATGCCATATGTAGGATATGAAACCTGGAAAGATTTGTATGAAGTGATGCAGAGTGTATTGAGAGTTTATATAATAACAACAATGGAAGGCAAATAGCTTTGAAAATCTTTTGAACTACAATCAAACCCAAACATTCTTCTAGAGGATGGATGATGAAGCATGTTCCCCAGCTCCTGACAGAGAGTTGATGAACTCAAGATGCAAAATGATAAATAAATTTTTGGCCATAGTCAATGTGGGAATTAATTTTGCTTGATCATGCATATTAAGGGTACTAAGTTAAGGTCTTTTCTTCTCTTTTTCTTTTAAATTTGATGATGAATGTGAGAGGAACAGAAAATAAAGCCTGGTTAATTTTAAAAATAGATCAATTAAAAAAAATAAAATTTTAAGGTTTTTGATTTAATGATGGTTTCCAGGAATTCTGAAAATTCTTAAATTCTCTCCTTTGCTCATATTTCAGGTCAGTTCCTTTTTTTTTCTCTCTCTGAGTTCAAAGAGAAGATTCTATATAAAACTGGATATCTCCATTCCATGCCACTTACCTGTCGTATTCTCTGAAATTATCACTGTCATTTCTTACATCAAAATAATACTCCATTAAATTAATACAGTACAACTGATTCAGCCATTCCCAAATTTTCTAAGATGTCTAAGGCACCCCATTAAATTCTAGTTCTTTGATTATCTTTTGACATCCCCCTCCATCAGGATCAGGAAGTTTGTTACACTTATGATTATTTCCTTTCCAATATTTCTGCATATTATCCACCTTCAGCCTTCTCTACCTCTTCTTATTTCTAAGTTGACTTTGATGCATTTCTACACCAAATCCATGTGTGTTCAATTATCCTTGGCCTAGTTCAGGTAGAAGCTCCTAACTCCCACCCCATCCTCCATGTTTGATACTCTTCTTACAACAATTTCTAACCCCACCTCTGCCTGCTTTCTACACTAGCCTAGAAAGTAGTGTATACTAGTATATACTTCCTTTTATCCTTCCTTCTCTCTTCCCTCTTCAGACCTTTGGAGCAGAACTAATCCAATTCTAGAGCCTCTGGTTTTCTAATTTAACTCCGTCAGTTCCTTTTGAAGATTTTAAAATTTTGAAGGGACACTTCCCCCTACCCCCATTCAAATGTTAGCACTACATAACCATACACACCCTACAGAATCGTTCAATGAAATTCACCTTTGCTGGTCTTCCTTTACTCTTTTGAGTTCCTATTTAGCTTTGACCTCTTCATTAGAGTTGCTTAACAATCCATTCAAGATGCATTCCATCTCTCCCCCCTTCCTGGGTCTCAGCCTCCCCTCCCCCTGCACTATATGATACTTAGTTTTGCAAAGTCACTTAGTTTTTGTTGTAAGACTATCTTTTTTGTCTTGTGAAATATTGTATTTCAAGATCTCATTTTTATTTGAAGTTCACAAGTCTGTATGATGCTGAATGTAATTCTTTAGTACTTAAACTGCTTATTTCTAGATGACTGTAATATTTTTTTGCTTTGAAATTGGTGCTTTAGATTTTGGCTTTGATATTCCTGGGACTTTTTTGGGGGGGGGGGTTCCTTTCAGGAGGTAATTGGTTGATTCTTCTTCACTTTACCTTCTGATTCTAGTAAATTTGGTAAAATTTCATTTATAATTTCTTTCAATAGAGTATACAGGCTTGGGGTTTTTAAATTATGATTTTCAGGGAGTCCAATGACTTGCATTGCTTCCCCTTGAATTCTTTTCCAGGTCAGTTCTTTTTAATATCAGAGATCTTAAATTCTCTTTTACCTTTTTGGTAGTTTTTTTGTAATTTAAAAATATTTTACACTTAAATACAAAAATGAGAAAAGAAACAAAAACACAGCCAGATACACAGCAGACCACAAGAGAGGACTCAATAGAAGACAATAAATTTCTATTTCAAGACCCTATATAATACTACACATTATTTTCAAAGCTGCCCAGCTTTTCTTTGCTTCCTTGTTATCTTTTGTTCTCTTCTGTGCACTTTTTACTTTATTTTTTCCCCTCCCTCCCCTCTCCATCCTAAAGGAGGCTACAATTAAGCATAGATATATATATACATATACACAGATATCTCTAAACATAGACATATATACACATATATACTCATACATATACGTAAAACCATACTATACTTATTTCCTCCTGTAATCTGTTTCTCTGAAGGTGGACAGCATCTTCTTAAGTCCAAGTCTTTCCATGTTTTTCTGAATCAACCAGGTCATCATTTCCTATCCCATCACAATATTCCTTTCTGGATTGAAACAGCATCTTCTTTCATAGTACCTTTGAGGTTAGTTTGGGGATTTACAATAGAATGACTTGCTCAAAGTTGTTCTTAAAACAATACTGCTGTTACTGTATGCAAATGTTCCCTTGGTTTTGATCATTTTGCTCTTCACTATTTCGTGGAAATGTCTCCATGCTTTTCTAAAATAATTGAGCTCATTACGTCTTATAGCAGAGTAATATTCCATCATGAACATATACTACAATTTGTTTAGCTATTCCCTAATTGATGGGTGTCACCACAATTTTCAGTTCTGTACCACCACAAACAGAGCTGCTACAAATACTTTAGAATATGTAGGTTCTTTTCCATTTTCCCTAATCTTCTTGGGAAACAGACTAAATAGAAGTATGTGTGGGTCAAAGGGTACAGGCAGTTTAATAACTCTTTGGGCATAACTCCACATCTCCCTCCAAAATGGTTGGATCACCTACAGATCCACAAGCAATGAATTCATTTTTTCACATCCCCTCCAACATCTGTCACTTTCCCCTTCTATCATTTTAGCCAATCTGATATGTTTAATATGATATCTCAAGGTTGTTTTAATTTGCATTTCTCTAATCAATAATGATTTGGAGCATTTTCATGACTATAGATTGTTTTGATTTCTTCATTGGAAAACTACCTGTTTATATCCTTTGACCATTTATCAATTGGGGAATAACTCACATTCTTATAGATTTGATACAGTTCTTTGCATGTTTGAGATATGGGATCTTTATCTGAGGAAATGTCTATAAAATTTTTTCCCCAATTTTCTGCTTTCTTTTAGATCTTGGCTACATTTGTTTTATTTGTATGAAACCTTTTTAATTTAATCAAACTTATCCATTTTATGTCTAACAACACACTCTATCTCTTGTTCATAAATTGTTCAGCTGTCTATAAGTCTGATAGGTTATATATTCCATGTTCTTCAAATGTTCTTGTAATATCTCCCATTATATCTAGATCACGTATCCATTTTGACCTTATCTTGGTAAATGGTGCAAGATATTGGTCTATGCCCAATTTCAGCCTGTTTTTCAGCTTTCTCAATTTTTACCAAATAATGGATTCTTATCCCCAAAACCTGTCTTTACACTAGTCAAGCACCCAGCAATTTTTGGTTGCTACTGTAGATTGTATGTCTACTCTGTTCAACTGATCTACCTTTCTATATCTTAGTAGGAACTGGTTTAGATAATTACCACCTTATAATATAGTTTAAGATCCAGTACTGCTATGCCTCCTTCCTTTATGTTTTTCCCATTAGTTTCTTTGATGTTATTTTTATTTTGCTTTATTCTTTCTTGCTGTCTCATAGGAATCATTGATTTCTGTTTTACTACATAACACTACCTGGTTTGCTTTACAACATTGTCTTCTAAGCTGTTTATTCTCCTTCCAGTTCCATCATTCTTGTTCTTCTTCCACATTACAGTTGCACAGTTCAAGCTACCACTGAATCTCTTGCTACCTTGTACTCTCCTCATTGTACAGAAAATACTTTGTACTCTTACCTAACCTCAATTCTGTTTCCCTTCTTCGAGCCCTATCTGCTCCCAACATTCCTCACCTGCTTCAAAATACTGAGAAACTCATGAAAAAATGCCAAATGGATTCGCTACAAATTGAGGCAATCTAGCCACCACTGTACGCAAATGTTGCAGGCAATACTTTTATTCTTCCTGACTGGCCTTCTATTACATGCTCTGAGGAGTTATTCCATTCTCCTGGCTTCAAACTTGCTCTTCTCCCTTTCAGCATAGATATCTAATTTAAGAAGAAAAAAAGAGGTAGGTGGTGGATGTTGAATGGTAGGGTTTTTATTCTGTCCTCCCTTTTCTTCACTACATGGAATCTGGACACTCCCTCGAAATACCCCACAAACACGTTCACACATCGTTACCTACACTTAACCCCTTTATTCATCT